GTGTTGTGTGTGTGTGTGTTCAACATTCGCCCCCAGGAATTGAAGCTGAATGCAGGCTCATTTCCTAGACTCGTATTCCAAATGAGATTAATCTTAGAAGTTGGGACATCGACTGCATGAAATTAGCTTAAATATAAATACTCTATAATTCCTCTATATCAATTATTTTTGCTAGAATTACCTTTTATTTTTATTTCCTAAAAGCCTTTCGCGAAAATCGGTCAAATATGCTTGGTGCAGTGGGAGGGATTCGTACAAATCAAGCGAAGGGGACACAAATGCTTATTGCTTCAAGTAAAATTTTGAAATTATTTATATAATATGCGTAATATTTTATTATCGCTATTAGTATATGCGAAGAGTAACCGGATTAATATGAATCTCTTTGGCTATCAGTGAGGTGGTGACTATTATTTCGTTTAAAAATAACCGAGGAAAATATTCTTAGGTAGTTGTCACCAAAAGATTTAGTGAGAATTGGGCCAAGATCTCGAGTTTTCCATGATATGAATGAAAAAAGTTTGGCAAAAGCGCTCAACGAAGGCACTTGGCACGAAATCAGAGTCATCGCTACAGTGTTATTTTTTTGCCAACTTGGGAGAGGCGTCGAGGAAATGGACTTCAACTCGAGCTCAGCCTTAAGACGTGAATAAACTTTCTTCAAAATGGCCATAAATCAAAAGTCTGTTTATGTATATAAATATCTATATGTGCGTGTGTGTGTGTGTGTTTACATGACTATTCTGTTTTTTTTCAATGAAAGAGTAGTCAATTCTCTTTGTTCTTAGAAGTATTCGACTCCTACATGCAATCCTCTTCGAAAACTAGTATTTGTACAATCGTAATCTACTACTCCCCTCTTCGGCATTTGTCGGTGGAACTGGTGGCAAGAATTGCGCCAAAACTGGAGCTACTTTCTCCCTAAAATTATCTTCAATGCCTCGAATCCGTCCATGACAGTCAAATTGTTATTTACGTCATGTTCCGTTCCCACTTGAACACACACACACACATACACACACACACATACATACACATACACACATAAGGAAGCAGTCGCCACTTGGGATACGATCGCGTACTAGCCTCGGGCTAAACATAAAACGTAGACAGAGTATGTCTCTCGTCGTGAGGCTCTGAAATGTATTGGGCAGATGGACAGCAAAGTAGTCCCTCGCAGAATTCCCGACGACACGCTGCATCCCCATCCTCCAAACCTGTCATCAACGGCAAAAAAGCAAGGTCCGTTTGTTCAGAACCGCGAGTGCAGGTGGCGGACTCAGGCAAATTTGTATGCGAACAGAATAAGCCTTCTCGACGACATGAAGTAGGCTTTTATGCAGATCATAAAAGGAAAACAACTATTTTGGTCGGTAGGATGGAGCCGGAGTGGGAGCGAATTACGAGTGGCCGGGCACTGGAAATGAATCGGGGCCATATAAACTTTGAAGAGAATATGATCGACCAACTCTCCCAAATCTTAACGACCCCATTCAGATAAGAGGTCTTAATGGATACCACAAGACATGGAGTCTCGTAGGGACGACCAACGCCGACAGGTTGCACGAGAAGCATCGTTCTTGGGAGTTGGAGGCCTTTTGAGTATGGTTAAGGAGAGAGAGAGAGAGAGCATCTTCGCTCCTTGGCCGAACATTCGTAGGCGTCAGAACTGAGGACGAGGCAGGTACAGAAGAAGCGCTGCCGAATGGTACTGAAGATGATGACGATGCGTTGAGG